ATCAGGCACGCCTTCTCTGAGTCTGACTCGTTTTATGGATCTAACCGCAGGCACCCAGACACCCCTTCCGACTCACTCCCTGACCTTGTCCACCCTCATCATGTTTCCCTGTTCTTTGCTCTTTCCACATTTACTTTCAGGTTTTTCCTCCACAATTCTAATAAATTTAAGCATAAATTACATTAAAAAAAAAAAAATCTATTTTAACTTGATTTCTGTTTTGAAAAATATACTTTTAAAATTTTTATTTTGATATCTACAATGTAAAGTTTAAGATATTTTAAGTACTCGGGTAACCGGTTGAAACATTAACCGGTTATCATGTTGATATGACGAGTGATGTGTTATCCAACTCAGTATTATTTGCTGACATGGTTAATGACATGATTTTTTTAAATCTAAAGTTAGTGTTTTTTAACTATAAAATTAGTATTCAATCGGTTACGTGGGTACTTTAATGTTTAAAAACTTTACATCTTAAATAACAAAATATAGATTTTGAAAGTACGTTACCAAAAATATGATTCAAGTTAAAGTGCGCTAATTTTTCATTAAATTYGCCCTAAATTTAAATATAGAATAAAAATTGTATACGTAAACTTACTCATATAAAGGTTTCGAGAACACGAACCTTTTACTTTCCTCCCCTTTTCTTTATTGGAGAACGATGTGTTTAGGTGAATTTAAAGCACGTAAAGTCGTCCGATGTGCTTTTCGCTGAATTCCACTGTTTCAAGAGATTTTTTTCAAGTTTTTTTGTTGATTTCGAGGTACATTTCTTTTTAATTAATGTTTCTTGTATATTTTTTTTATTAATATTCCAAAGGACCTTTGGAAGTTGATACCCCAAAAAAAATGATCTATTTGCGAAAAGAAGTTTAGCGGATGCATAGGACCCACCGTCGGGCCTTTGTAAGTCCACCCCTGATTAAAAGTTGGTTTCTAGACCAATTTACGAACACCGACAAATCTTCTGAGTGTGATGGAATATGGATTTGTGGATTTATTGATCCGTCTCTGATTGAAATATCTTAAATATTAGTTTCTTGAAGAATCTTCTTATATTAAAAAAAACTAGAAGGATACTCGCACAATGCAACGAGATATATCTTGATTTTAGTGTTCCGTTTTATTCTGTCTTTGTCGATGTTATAATACAGTTTTATGTGGTTTTGAAAAAACGATAATGTTTTTATTTTTTTTTAAATATAAATTTGAAGATATCATAAAATTTTGAAAAAAAATATATCCATATTTATGTCAAATTAACTATTTAAAAGTTCTTGTTTTTTGTTATTTATTTAATTTAATTTCTTATTATAATTTAATTTACGTTTAATAACGAAGCAATTTATTTTTGATTTAATAATATAATTTTTTTATAAAGATAACAATTAAATATTATGTTAGAACTCAATATTTATCTTAATTATATTTTAGATTTTTTATATTTAAAATGAAATGTTTATTTTGTATTTGATTATGTTTATCGACAGTTAGTTACACGAAATCAAGTGTAGAGCTTTAATAAGTTGTACTTACGCAACATTTACTGTAATCTTGAGGTTTAAGTAATATGCATTAATAAACAGTACTTCGTACATAAAAAAAATTAATTTTTTTTGTCAAATACTTTATAATATAGTTTAAATATAGATAAACAAAATGAATATGATGCATTTAAACCCACCCATWAATAA